GATGCAGGGGACACGGGTTCGTGCCCCGGTCTGGGAGGATCCCACATGCCGCGGAGCGGCTGGGCCCGTGAGCCATGGCCGCTGAGCCTGCGCGTCCGGAGCCTGTGCTCCGCAGAGGGAGAGGCCACAACAGTGAGAGGCCCGCGTACCGCAAAAAAAAAAAGTAACCTGCCATGTGAAATAAGAGTTCGTGTAACGGACAAAAGAATGAAATAAAAGACACTAAAAAGAATAATACCAGCCCTCGGAGAGATACTTAGAAGTGACGGAGAGATCCACCTCGGGGAGAAGCTGCGAACCGATCTTTTCTAAGGAGACCAACAAATCTTTACAGTAAAATATATGGGGAAATGTAAGGTAAATTAATTCAAAAAGAAACTAAATGGAATGCCTGCTAAAACTCGAGTGCTGAGTAGAAAGGGGGTGTCACCGCGGGCCGGTTGTTGAGAGACAGCCCTCCTGGGCACTCGTGCTGGGGGTCCCACACTACAAGACTCTGACCACTGGCTCTTTCACTAGGGCCATTACTCAGGGCTGTTCACGTGACGAGTTACCTTGAGAAATGAGATAATGTCTCCCCCCCATCCCAACCCTAGACAAAAACCAGACTTGCTTACTGCCTGCTACAGAGCAGGTAGATTCCCCAGGTTCTGTCTCTCTCAGGTACATGTGCAGCCACCCTTCTGGGCCTGTCACATCACCTGTGGGACTTCGGGCCCAGGGAACCACACCAGCATGTGATGCTGTGCTGCTTGCCACACAGAGTAATAAGGTCCCTGGTCTCTGACCCAGGAATCGCATGTGTTCTGCCAGCATCCAAGAAACTAACAAGAGAGCTCATGGGCTATTGAGGGTAAAATCAAATCCCAGACCCAACAGCTAATGGAAGTTATCACAGAGCCACGGGAAATGAACGACATACGACTTGTCCACAGGTGGCTGCTGGCCGAGGATGTTGAAAAGGTGAGAAATAAGTCCAAGCTGACAGGGTCACTGAGATTCAAGCAACAATAAACTTTGGAAGCTGAGGAATAGGCAGGTTCTGACACGGACAGGAAATGGCTGAAGCTTGGGCTAACAGAGGTAGTGAGCTTGGTGTCACAGCATGGACTCTGGGGCCAGGACTCCCAGTCTGAATGTGCCACTTACTAGCCCAGTGACCTTGGAAAGTCACTTAACATCCTCCGTAAAATGGGGCTTGCAATGGACCAACCTCCTACGAAAACAGTGCCGACGATGAGCTGCCGTGTACCACAGCGCCTGGTTCTCGGTAAGCCTTCACCAAGCACTCATCATGCCTGTTCTTCTCATAGCCACCCCGCTGTTCCATGGGGTGGAACAGAGAAGACAGACAATTAAAGGAGATTCTCAGAGTGCTCCTCTGGGACCCAGGCAGGGAACAGGACCGGGCAGTAGACTGGAGAAACAGAGGCATAGGAAACTGAGACAGACCAGCACGAGTTCTAACTCACTGCTCACTAGAACGTGGAGGTCCGAGCACTGGTACATCACTCGGCCTCACACCCCTCCACCTGCCTGCATCTATCCAGCCCACAAACTGTACTGCACACTGCATGGCTCAGACACTCTTCAAGGCACACAAACTGCCCCTCCCCCCAAACCCTGGGATTAGGTGTGGGCAAGAAAACTGTAAGAGATTTAGAAATATACAAAAGATACAAATATATAGAAGATAAAAGTTATAAAAAAAAAAGCATAACATTCTGGAGAGACTCTATATTCACATTGGTTCTCAAATGTCTACGTACTTGTTCAACTTTAAAAACTGATACTGAAAAATGTTAACTCTGCAAAGAAAAGGTCTTAGGCCTCCTTCAGAAGACTGCAAACGAATATATATTTGTAAGCTTCAAGTTAAGATTAAAGCATGTATCTGTTTTTTCATGATTCCCGTTTTAACCAACTTTCTCAACTAACCAAACAACTAATGGTTCCAATCTCGTTAGACTATATTCAACTGCCAACTAGATATCTTGGCCTGCTTGTCAACAGACACCTCCAACTTGACACGTCCAAGACTACATTTGTCTTTCCCTCCAAATCTGTCCTGCTCATCTGCTGCCCAACTAGAAACCTAGGAATCGTTCTTGCCTCCTCCCCGTTCCCCAGCCGCACATCCTCATTCAGCAAGCCCTGGTGAGGTCTCCTTCAGAAATTCTAAAAAGCCCACTCCCCCTTTTCTTATCCCTATTACCACGGTTCTAGTTCTGCGAATTAGCACAGCTCAGAGGAAAGATTACAAGCCTTGAATCCATAAATACCTATGTTTGCGCTGTGCTGCTGCGTTCACAGGGTGTAATGGACAAAACCCTGAGAGCCACACTTCCCAAAGGATGTAAGCAGCGGATCGCTAACACTGACCGGCTCGCAGCCGGACCACTTGCTCTGTCCCCCTGTTACTTCCACCACTTTGTCCCCCCTCCCCACACGCCCCTAAACTGAGAGCGCGGCCAGGGGCTCCAGCGCAGCTGGTGGACAGACTCGCCCGGGATCCAGCTCCGGCCCGCAGGCCAAGACAGCGGGAGGACAGCTGGCAGGATGCCCGTTGGCCGAGGAAAGTTACCTGCTGCAGGTACTGGTTGATGGTGATGTGCGCCATGGCCGCTCCCGCCGCCGCCCCGCGGAGCTGCGCGCCCCGTCGCTGCCGTCGCGTCACTTCCGGGCCGCGGTCCGGTCCCGGCCCCGCGCCGCCGGCCCCGCCTTCCGCGCACGTTGGTTCCGGAGGCAGCGTGCGCGCGGGAGTGCGAGACCCGGGCCGGCATGGCGGCGCGCCCGGGCTGAGGAAGGTCGGCGGCTGCGCTGCGACTCCCTGCCTCCCACACGAGGCCGCTTCGTCGGCGCCCCGGTGCCCGGGCCTGCCGGGCCCTCGACTGTTGCGGGTTCCACACGGACCGCGGCGGACGCGGACTGCGGTGCCCGCGAGCTCGGGGCTGGGTCGGGTCGGGGTCTGGCGTGCTCCCGAGGCCTGCGGCACCGGCTCTGGTCGGGCCGGGTCGGGCGACGGTTGGGCTGGGCCGGGCGGGGCTGAGGGAGCGCAGCGGAGGGAGGGCGAGGCCGGGCGGCGGAGACCGAGGCCAAGGCCGAGGCCGAGGCGGAGGCCGAGCGGGCGGCGGGCGGGGCGCTGCGGCCGCGGCCATGGCCGACGAGACCCCTCGGAAGGGCAGTTTCTCGGCGCTTGTCGGACACACCAACGGCCTTACCAAGCCCGCGTCTCTCGCCGCGGCCGCCGTCACCTCCAAGCCCGGGGCCGCCGGCGGCTCCAAGAAGCTCGTGATCAAGAATTTCCGAGGTGGGTGCGCGGCGGGCGGGGCGGGGGTCCCTCCCCTCGGCCGCTCGGGCTGCGATGTCGGCGGGGCGGCGCGGGCCGGCGGCGGCTTCCCCTTGGTCTGTATAGTTGGTCTGTACACTCAGGTGTCCCGGTTCGCACGGCCGAGTAGCAGGACTGAAGCTCTTCGTGATGTAATTTAATTACTTGCTCCACTTCTCACCAGCTCTGTCGCTGTCACTGTCTCAAAGCAGGCGTCTTTGATGCAGACACACCAGTTACAACCTTATTCTTCACCTTCCTCCCAGCTTGGAGTAGTTTCAGTCAACTTTAAATGTTGTAGAGAGCTTAACTATTCCACGTTTATACTTTTGTGAAACCCACTTGTTAAGTAAAGGAATAATGTTAAGATTTGTATGATTCCTACATGTGCTTATTCTAAGTATCAGTACTAGACGTATTTGTTTAGCCAAACGAAGATGGAATGGTTGCATAGTCTGTAACCCAAGAAATGTATAAATGTGGTACTTGTATTGGGAAAACCTAATTTTTGCGCTCCTTACCTATGTGTCTTTTAAGTACTTTTTTTGTGGAATAGTTTTTTAAAGATGTGTGATCCTTAGCATGGATGCCGTTACTCACTGACTCCGTCTGCATTTACAGACAGACCTAAATTGCCTGATAACTACACTCAGGACACCTGGCAGAAACTTCATGAAGCAGTGAGAGCCATACAGAGTAGTACCTCCATCAGATATAACCTGGAAGAGCTCTACCAGGTAAGGCTCCACATGTGCAGAAAGCAGAGCTTGTTAGAATTCTCACTGAGATGTAAACGGGCAGTTTTCTTAGGGAGAACTTTAAGACCTGAGGGGGCCAGGGTCCGGTTTTTTACTTACCTGATTGTTTCTTATAGTGTCTAAATAGCACAATCATCCAACTCCTGTGAAATGTGACCCAGACGTGGATCTTGTGCTCCTCGGTGTTGTTTCAGTCAGTAATGAAGGGACTAATAGAAATCGACTCTTTGCCTGAAATAAGAACAGTAGGAGTTCGGTGGCAGCGTGTCCCAAGTCGAGGAGCGTTTTCCGTTTCTGGTGGTTGTGGGATTTTTATTTCATTTTCAGGCCTCAGCTGTCTAGAAGGGTATTTAAAGTTAACCCATTACAGGAGAGAAATGCGTTCCTAAGAGTCACATGACTTCTAATATTTTCCAAGTATGCAGCAAACTATTATTATAATTCCATTATGTTATATACGAAACTCTTATTACAGTTTGACTTGTTCATGTGGGTTTTCCCCTTTTCATTGTGTTTTGTGATTAATTGTTGCAGTTAAAATGTGCAGACTGGTTTTGTTACATTTAATTTGAGATAACGATGTTCCTTTTCTAACACCAGAAGAAATGATCAAAAGTAGGTTTCACTTTTGGGATATTTCAGTTACACACAGACTGGTTTTCCTGATATCTTGTTTTTAAAGAATGACATTCGCTAACTGGTCTCATATTATCTACATTTTAGGTAATATGATAGCACAATTTCTACTAAGAGACTTAAAAAAATTTTTTCTGTTTACATAAGTGATTACATTTTTTCTGTTTACATAAGTGAAAAATTATGGAAACTACAAAAAGTACAAAGAAGAAAATAAAAATCACCTATATTCCTACCACCCAAAGAAGACTACCATGGACAGTTCGATGGGCACCTGTCCCTTCTTTGTCTTAAGTTCGTGTGAGGTGATTGTATTGTTTAATTGACGTAATTACGGTGTAGACTATGTGCTTCAACAAGTTTTAACAAATGTGTCCAATTGTGCAACCACCACACAGTCGAGATACAGAATGTGTCTGTCACCCCGAGAAGTTCCCTGAGGCCCCTTTGCAGCGGGTCCTGTCGTGTGACCTAACCCCCAGTCCTCGGCAGTCGCTGATGTGCCTTGTGTCAGTATGTTTTGCCATCTTTAGAATCTCATGTCAGTGGAACCGTGCGATTGTGCCTAGCTCCTTTCGCTTAGCGTAGGGCTTGTGAGTTGGGCACATGCATGCGTCGTGACAGTAATTCGTTTCTTTGTTGCTGAGTACTCTGGGGACCACCAGTTAGTTATCCTGAGGTAATGGACGTCTGGGTGTCTAGTTTTGGGTTATGAATAAAGCTGCTGCAGACGTTCATAGGTAAGTCTTTGTGTGGACAAAAATTCTCATTTCTCTCGGATGAACATCTAGAAGTAGGTTCTCTGAGTAAAATGGAAAGTGTGTGTTTAACTTTACAAGACGTTTCCTAACTTTTTCAAATGGCTTCACCATGTTGCCTTTCTGCCAGTGGTATGTGAGCATTCCAGCTGCTCCGTGTGCTTGCTGACATTGGGTATTGTCAGTCTTTTTAATTTTTGCTATTCTAGTAGGTGAGTAGTAGAATTTCACTACAGTTTTAATTTGCATTTCCCTAACGATATTAAGTATCTTTTCTTGTGCCCGCTGCCATTCCATACACCTTCTTTAATGAAGTGTGTGTTCAAATCTTCTGCTCATTTTTTATGGTGGTGTTTATTTTCTTATTATCGAGTGTTTGAGTTTTTTATGTGTTCTGAGCATGCATCCTATACCAGGTATTTGCCTTGCAAATGTGTTCTCCTAGTTTGCAGCTTGTCTTTTGATTCTCTTAACCATGGCTTTCAGAGAGCAGATGTTTTAAATTTTGATGAAGTCTTTGTATCAGTTTGGTCTTTTATGGATTGTGCTTTTCGTGTCTCTCTGAGAAGTCTTTGCCTAAAATCTAAGGTGGTAAAGATTCTCCCTTGTATTTCCTTCTTTTAGCGTTATAGGTTTTACATTTAGGTCTGTTGTCTGTTTTGAGGTGAATTTTTGTATTTGCTGTGAGGTATAAATCCAAGTTCACTGTGTTCCCTGTGGAGGTCCAGTTGGTCCAATGCCATGTGTTGAGGCATCTGTCTTCTCCAACAAACTGCCTTTGCTCCTGTGTCGGAAGTTCTTGTCCCTGTGAGTGTGGGTGTCCTAAGTCTCAAAGTCTGGACCGCTGGCCCTGCAGGTTTATCCTTTTTTGGGGTAAACTTGTTTTGGGTATTCTAGGTCCATTATATTTCCATATGAATTTTAGAATCTCTTTGCCAGTTTCTGCAAAGAAGCCTCCTAGGATTTTGGTTTGGATTATGTGTAATTGTAAGTGAGCGTGGGGAGAGCTGCTATCTTGACAACATTGAACCCCCCAGTTGACCACAAGGGACAGCTCTCAGTTAGGTCTCAGCAATGTTTTCTAGTTCCGCTGTGCAGGTCTTGTATATCTTTTGTGAAATTTATCCCTAAAGCATTTCATACGTTTATGGTATTGTAAAAGGTAGTATAAATTTTAATTTCTGGTTGTTGATAGTACATACAAATACAACTCATGTTTATACATTTATCTTGTATATTGCTGTCTTGCTAACCGCACTTATCTCTTGTAGCTTTTTCGTAGATCCCATTGGGTTTTCTGTGTGGACAATCATGTCGCCTCTACACACAGAGATAACTTTACTTCTCCCTTGCTAATTGCGTGCCTTTTATTTCCTTTCTTGCCTCGTTGCACTACATAGAACCTCTGGTGGTTAGTACGATGGTTAATAGAAACGGAAAAAGCAGACATCCTTGTTTTGTTCCTGGTCTTAGGGGAGAAAGCTTTCAGTCTTTCATCATTGAACACCATACGATGCTGTAGCTGTGGGTTTTTCAAAAATGCCCATATTGTCAGGTTGAGGAAGTTCCTTTCTGTCCCTATAGGTTGTTGAGAGTTTGTGTCAGAAAATACATGTTGGATTTTGACAAATTCTTCTGTGGCTGTTGAGATGGTTATGTGTGATTTTTGTTTTTTAGTTTGTTAATTACACGGATTGATTTTCCAAATGTTAAACCAGTCTTTCATTCTGGTATAAATTCACCTTGGTCATGATGTATTATCTTTTTAATGTACTGTTGGAGTCAGTTTGCTGACATTTTGTTAATTTTTGCATCTGTGATCACAAAGGATATTGTATTATTCTCGTGTAATGTCTGTGTCTGGTTTTAGTATCAGATTAATGCTGGCCTCATAAAATGAGTTGGAAATGTTCTCTTCATTGTCTAGAAGACTTTGTGTAGAATTGGTATTATTTCTTTTTTGTTTTTTGGTTTTTTTTTCAATTTTTTTTTTGCGGTACGCGGGCCTCTCACCATCGTGGCCTCTCCCGTTGCGGAGCACAGGCTCCGGACGCGCAGGCTCAGCGGCCATGGCTCACGGGCCCAGCTGCTCCGCGGTATGTGGGATCTTCCCGGACCGGGGCACGAACCCGTGTCCCCTGCATCGGCAGGCAGACTCTCAACCACCGCGCCACCAGGGAAGCCCTGTTTTTTTTTTTTTAATAAATTTATTTTTGAACCCCCCAGTTGACCACAAGGGACAGCTCTCAGTTAGGTCTCAGCAATGTTTTCTAGTTCCGCTGTGCAGGTCTTGTATATCTTTTGTGAAATTTATCCCTAAAGCATTTCATACGTTTATGGTATTGTAAAAGGTAGTATAAATTTTAATTTCTGGTTGTTGATAGTACATACAAATACAACTCATGTTTATACATTTATCTTGTATATTGCTGTCTTGCTAACCGCACTTATCTCTTGTAGCTTTTTCGTAGATCCCATTGGGTTTTCTGTGTGGACAATCATGTCGCCTCTACACACAGAGATAACTTTACTTCTCCCTTGCTAATTGCGTGCCTTTTATTTCCTTTCTTGCCTCGTTGCACTACATAGAACCTCTGGTGGTTAGTACGATGGTTAATAGAAACGGAAAAAGCAGACATCCTTGTTTTGTTCCTGGTCTTAGGGGAGAAAGCTTTCAGTCTTTCATCATTGAACACCATACGATGCTGTAGCTGTGGGTTTTTCAAAAATGCCCATATTGTCAGGTTGAGGAAGTTCCTTTCTGTCCCTATAGGTTGTTGAGAGTTTGTGTCAGAAAATACATGTTGGATTTTGACAAATTCTTCTGTGGCTGTTGAGATGGTTATGTGTGATTTTTGTTTTTTAGTTTGTTAATTACACGGATTGATTTTCCAAATGTTAAACCAGTCTTTCATTCTGGTATAAATTCACCTTGGTCATGATGTATTATCTTTTTAATGTACTGTTGGAGTCAGTTTGCTGACATTTTGTTAATTTTTGCATCTGTGATCACAAAGGATATTGTATTATTCTCGTGTAATGTCTGTGTCTGGTTTTAGTATCAGATTAATGCTGGCCTCATAAAATGAGTTGGAAATGTTCTCTTCATTGTCTAGAAGACTTTGTGTAGAATTGGTATTATTTCTTTTTTGTTTTTTGGTTTTTTTTTCAATTTTTTTTTTGCGGTACGCGGGCCTCTCACCATCGTGGCCTCTCCCGTTGCGGAGCACAGGCTCCGGACGCGCAGGCTCAGCGGCCATGGCTCACGGGCCCAGCTGCTCCGCGGTATGTGGGATCTTCCCGGACCGGGGCACGAACCCGTGTCCCCTGCATCGGCAGGCAGACTCTCAACCACCGCGCCACCAGGGAAGCCCTGTTTTTTTTTTTTTAATAAATTTATTTATTTACTTTTGGCTGTGTTGGGTCTTCGTTATGGCGTGCGGGCTTCTCATTGCGATGGCTTCTCTTGTGGAGCACAGGCTCTAGGTGCATGAGCTTCAGTAGTTGTGGCACTTGGGCTCAGTAGTTGTGGTTTGCAGGCTCTAGAGCACAGGCTCAGTAGTTGTGGCATGCGGGCTCAGTAGT